CGCTTATTCATATTGGATATTAATTGAAATAAACAAAGGGAATAAAAGTTGGGAAATACGAATTCAATTTTTCTAGAAGTTACGAAAGACACCTTTTTCTAAAGTGAATAATGAATTATATTCATATGAAATATGGAGCTATTAATTGGACATGTTAAATATGATAATTCTAAGTTACAAAAATACTGACAATCGAACTATTCAGTTGTAATAAAGGATTATATTGAAGTTTTTTGAGAAAATAGTACTTGGAAGTGAAGATTTTTAAGGTTTGAAAACTATCAACTCAATTCAATACCAATATAGAATAAAAGTCGTAAAGATTGAGAGGTTAGAAGACTTGGCTACCAGTATTTGAACAAAAGATAATTTATAAAGAGAGCTAAAGGTTTCATCAACAACTTTCCATCCATAATAGTCAGAATTAACTAAATGTATGCAGCAGTGGAAATAAAAAATCGACGACAGTTATAGAAGAATACACGATTTAAATATCAAAAGACAAAAGACAAACACAACACAATAATTTTGTATATTGAAGTAGCTTATAAATTATCATTATTTTAATTAAACAGTAGTTTCCTTAAAAATTATCTTTTACAGTACTATTGTTATTACAATCATGATTTGTAATCAGTCGACGAAAATCATTCAAATGACCTACAACTCGATGATTCTATCAAAAAGATACAAAAGACCACACACTATTAATAAATACGATTTATTTTTAAAGCTTTATAATAAACATGTTATTATACAATTCCATTTAATATAATATATTAAATACAAACCAAGAGGACTTTCTATGCTTATCAAGGCTTAATATTTAATAAACCCACTTCACATTTCCAGAAAATATCTAGCCTGTCTCAAATTTCCAATACTACTAGCGGATTTGAACAATTACATATATAATTATTCTATACATTCGAAACAGCACAACAGTCTACTTTACAGGTGTATGACGAGTTAGACAAATACAGAAGGTACATCGTTAGAAGAAACAAACTTCTCAGAGTTGTCATTGCTCTTGTTGTTATTTTTGTGTTTTTGCTAGTTGTAAAACTACTTTATTAAATGTCAAAAGCTACTCCAAGTCACAGCCAACAGCCTGTCATTATCTATCATTTGACCTTTTTAAATGGGCTTTGATCAATCAACTGATTCACATAGTTTCATTATGCAATGATTAATGCAACTTGCATAAAAATGTACAGGCCACTCACAACAAAGTCTGTTCTTTCTTTATTGTGCTCTTTTACTAAATTGGATGTATCCTTCAAAATTGCTCACATCCCCAATACTTTCAATCATTTTAATAACAGTGGGATTTGTCAATGCCATAAAGTCTTCAATACTGTCAAACTCATCAACTATTCCAAGATCCCTTTTGACATCACGCCATACATTTGACCCTTTCCATACAAATCCATCGTCAGCAGTCACGACTATTCCATCATTTTCTATCGTACAAACATAAAGGACTTTGTTGTTCATGCTCTTTTTGTAGTTTGAGTGAGGCTTGAATCTCTTTTTAACGCTGTAGTTCATTGGATAGACATAGTTTTTATTATAGCCGTAAGGTGGGAAAGTGCCAATGTTTGCGATTGAGGCTCTTGACAGGCCGTTTCCAACGATTATTGGGTATGACATTTGAAGTCCATTCAGCTTTGCAATGCAACCATTGAGTAGGGCAATCGACATTGTTGTTGACTCTATCTTTTTCTTTAGTCTTTCTATTTCAAGGAACTCCTTAAATGTCCTCTCGAAGGAGTCTTTGAATTCTTGGAACAGTGCTCTTCCAGCCGTGTCATTCTCTTGGAGTGAAGTACTTTTAAGTGGATCTTCAAAGTTGTAAGATGACGTCTTTTTAAATGAGTCGTTGAGCTCTCCAAATGGCATCTTCATTAATCAAGGGTTATCCTTTGGTAGTAAAAAAACACCCAAGAGAGTGAAAGTAACACAACTACTTAGGGCTCTATACTTGTAGATGCTTCAAGGACTTCAATTCTTTTTCAATTATCTTAGAATACATGCTAATCATTTAAAAGGAAAAAACTTTAATATGGTTAATATTGTCAAATGTATCATAAACATGCAAGAACATATGACACATATTTTCGTCAATGTAAAGAAATAAAGCCTCGACAGAATTCTATGTTTGAGTGACAGCACACAAAACATCTATTAGCCATTCCAAATAACTCGTAGTGCAATATATATTTTTACCAGTAACAGTAAATATATTCTCATGGTAATTTTTTTGTGAAAAAGTTATTCCCATCCATGAACTTCAATCCGAATTTCAAAATACTAGAACGAACTAAAATATCAGAAAAAGAAGTCTGCGATGCAGTGAGTAGATTTTTGGTTGAAAACCACGATGTAGATGGAGTGTACAAAGTTCAAAGTGAAGAAATCATGGATTTCCTAAAAAGAAAAACAGATATTGTAGACAATGAGGATAGTGTTGCTGAATAAATGAAGAAATTGCAAGCAAGTGTAGCATAGATCATTAAAACAAATTATAATATCAAAAATTTACTTAAAACATTAATTTTTTGATTTGATATATTAATAAGCCATAGTACATTTTCATATTATGTAACGGTATAGTTTACTAAGAAATATTAAAAGGCATTATAACTAATGCGATGCAATAGTATTGACCATATTCTTTTATATACAACTCAATGATGCAAATTTAAATATTAGCTGAAAAACCAATGTAATGCAATGCAAGATTACACATATAGATAATAGCTAATCATAGGAACTGAAAATCAGATGCTAATCATAAAAGAATGAAATCTTTTTAAAGTTATCAGAATTTTCCTGAGCCAGTATTTCAAAATCATTGAATGTTAGAAATCCACTCTGATTCTGAAGCGAAGAGAATATTTCATCAACTAAAAATTTTGAAGGAATTTCGGACATCATCGAATTTGAGACCATCAAATTAATAATATCAAATCCCTTTTCCAATTCATCTCTGCTAACAAATCCATCCTTATCATCATCATAAAATCTAAACAACCATCTTAGTCTTTCAAATGTTGATCCTTTTAAAAGAATAGTAAATGCGATAAGCAATTCGCTCAATTCAACTTCTTTAGCTTGGCTTATGTTAATATTTTGAAACATTCTCGTACAAAAGGGCTCTACCTTTCCAAATGGGAAGAGTGAGGAAAAGAAATCAATAAAATCTTTAAGTGACATTCTACCGTCTGGATAAATTGCTTTAAAGGCAAAAGACCATTCTCTTATTTCAGTAGGAAGAAAATGAATAAATTTTGAGCATTCCAAATCTTTGGATAGTGGTTGACTGCTTTGATTCCCCATGAATGGATTAAGGGCAATGCAATAAACAAGAAGGAAATGTAAAACACAAGTTATCCTTTTCCATAAATTACAACACTATTTGATTATAAATTTATTACTAATTTTTGTAAATTTAATTTATCTGCAATATTTTGAGATATGTCAATTTTCAAATAGAATTTAAATGATATTCTCAGTGCTCAATTAAATTTACTTACGAGGACATGAAGAAATACGAGGATTAAAGAGGAAACATTGCCACTTTAGAGTAAATTCATAGAACATCAAAGAGGTAGTAATCCTGAAAAAAAATTTATGGCTTATTTTAAACTTTAATTCAAAGTGTCATTTTTAAGATAAATTATTTACAAAAATTAAAAATGATCAAATTGGTATAATTTCCTTATCATTCATGCTTAATAATTAAGAATTATTTTTTATTCACCCCTATGAACTTGAGTGTGGTGTTTTACATTCCAAACATGATTGACTATTTCAGGATAATACTCTTAATAGTCTCGGTATTCTTCAAAGGGAGAAGCTTTGCATTGCTGTATATAACTAGCATCTCCTTGGATTACTTTGATGGATATGCTGCAAGGAGGTTCGGACAAATTAGTTTATTGGGGGGAGCCTTGGATATGATCATTGACAGGGTCTCAACAATGGTCATATTATCAAAGATATCCCAGGAAAAACCAAGCTACTCACCGTGGTGCATTCTCTACTCCATTATTGATTTTATGTCTCATTTCATATTCTTTTTAATGTCAGCCTACACTGGCACTCATCACAAAAAGTTTTCTGACAATATCTTCCTCTCTCTTTACTACAGGAAGGGTTTCTTGTACTTTATCTGTCTGGGCTCTGAGCTTTGTTTCATTCTGACATACTTGTCAAGATCTAAGAAACGAGTGTTTGATGCCCAGAAATCAATCCTTAGCTTTCTGCAACTGGTTGCAGCCACGAAGACATTCTTCCACATTGTCCATTTTGTAGTTGGCATTTTATTTATGAGTTCTATTGAAAGCGATTACGCTCGGTTTAATAAATCCTCGTAAGTTAGCATATTGTTCAAAGGTTAGTTTATTTACAACCATTGCATATACTAAGGCTTTATTTCTAACAATTAGCATTTTGAAAGCTTACATTTCTAAGAGAATTTTTAAAGCCAACTTATTAAATGCTATTATATTTTACAGCTTAGCATTTAAGTATGCCCACCACAAACCATAGGAATAGATATTGTGCATTTATTAAAAAGCTCAATGACAATGGACTGGACTTTTATTAACAATAACAACGAGATTCTCAGCAGTACTCAAATAAAAGACTCAGCCAGGTGTTCAGAACAATTATCTTGTTAAACAATCAATGACTTAAAACACTCCTCACAAATAAGTAGATCAAGCTTTTCTGAGGATATTTCCATGCATGGGAAACAATCTTATGCAATGACACTAAAATTAGCAATAAACATAGAAATTATCATGGATAATGCTGGGCTTTCTCTAAATTAAAAGCTTGCCGTGTGGATAGATAAATTTTTATTGATAGATCAAAATTATCAGTTGAATTTCTTTAATTTAATTATCATTGTGAATACTTCTGACGTTTATGTAAAATATTTCATATCATACAACCTTTTGACACTTTTTTATGCAAGTTTTCTGACTTTGCTTTCAAGTTGCAAATTTTATGCAGGAGAGAATACACCAATCACTTTTTAGTAAAAGAAGATTTCAAAATAACCTTTTTTTAACAATCTTTGAAGCTGTCAATTGTACAATTATTAAAATATAGCAACTTCTTAAATATATTCTTCAATTTAAAACTATCTTCTATAGAATGGTATTTTTTCAAGCTGTTAAATTTCAAATATTTGAAAACATCACACTTCAGCATTTAATTGTATAAATCCTCATAAATAAACACATGCCCTTTATGCAATATTCAACAGCAAGTCCCTTCATATTTGATTAACAGTTTATTTTAGTACCTTTAAAGCTGATAAGTTTAAGGTAGATAGACATAACCACTTAAATACAATATTTGACATAAAACTTTATTATAGCTCTTCAGGAACACTCACCCTGTCACCTGCTGCATCTAAGCGTTCTTTCACAGTTTTTTCATAAGCTTGCTTATCGTCTCTATAAAGCTTTGAGGCATCAACATTTGCTGCACTGAAGATATTAGGCTCATTTAAAAGTGAAATAATACTAATACAGACTGTTCTAACATTAAGTCCGGGAGTCCAAGTGCTGTTCAAAATGTCTGAGTCAATTATCTCGTCTTGGTCAGTATGAAGAATAGAAATACAAACCTTGCCATCTTCATATACATTTGGATGGAACACAGGAGAAATGAATTTGAACTTTGGTGGTTGGTAAGGATACTGAGACGGGAATTCCATTCTTGCACGCAACACATAACCCTCATAAGGACTGCTTTCTGGTCCAGAAATCCATAAATCCCATCTATCCAGCCTCTCAATACCTGTATGTGTCTTTGCAAGTGAAACAGTAATGCCTAAACCCTTCTCACTTCTCATCATCCCCAACTCCTTCATTAACCTTTTCTCAGCAGACTGTGTGAGCCTACTTTCTTCAATTGACATTGGGGCAGAGTAGAGATAAATTATAAGAATTGAGAAAAGTGTTTCAGAAGTAAACAACAAAACAGGGGAGAAGTCCGTACACCAATTAAGTGTCTTTTACTTCAACCATGCAAAAAATTTTAAAATATCAAAAATTCATTATTTCAATAGACTATTTTCATATAAACTATTGACAACTTTGACATTAAAAATAAATTAAAACATCATTAAAAATATTGAATGGGCACGTGTTTATGTTTCAAATTGGATGTTTATTTTTACATTCAAACAGATTGCCATTTTATTTACAAGAGCATCTCAGTTGAAAGTCTTTGTCATGCGACTTCTCCATTACGTTTGTTAAGGATCATCCAACTAGTAAAAATTTTATAACAAAGCAAAACCAACAATTCGCATAAAGAATTGGTAGAAAGTAGCTCATATGAATTGTTAGTGTAAATATTTGTAAATCTGAAACACCTGAATTTAAAAATCGACAAACATGCTTATTCATGAACCCCATGCGGATCACAAGCAGACATTTTTTACTAAAATGGCTGAACAGCGTTGAGGTTCCCATACAAAAAATTGAAGACATAGGAAAAGGAGTGGCACTCTGCACTCTAATGAAGAAATTGGACCAGGAGTTCCCAGCATTTAAGAAAGAACCCTGGAATGAAAATGACTACATGCACAATCTCAAACTGGTGCAGATGTTCTTGTCTAAGAAGGGAGTTAAAATGTACTTTCCAATTGAGAAAATGATAAAGCTGAAAATGCAAGACAACCTTGAAGTTATTCAGAACATTTACAAATTTGTAGTGAGGGAAAACCCGGCTCTGGGATTAAATGAATATGGCCCAGATAGGAAACCTTGCGAAAGTGAAGCAAATGAAACACAAACCAACACTTCAGTCGAAAAAAGAACACACCTCAACAATCCATCCCCTCGAAGACTTCAAATGGAAGTGAAGGAGAAGCAAAACGATATAGAAAAAGCTCAAGGAATGCATAGCAGTAATTCAAAATGAAAGAGACTTCTATTTTAGGAAACTACTTGAAATTGAACGAATTTTAAAGGAAGACAAAGAAGACATGTCTGAAGTAAAGGAAAAGTTATTCAAAGTAATGTACAGAAAATAAAACTAATATCAACAATATAGTAAATTTTCTTTACAGTCTGTTCAATGTAGAGACACTATTAAAATGTACATTAACCTTAAATAAAGTTTTAAGGCTAAATTTTGACATTTGATATTAACTCATCAGGTTTATAGATTGATGGATGGAATTAAGCATACAAAATGGTCTGTTAATGGGATGGTGGGTTAAATTATAAAAGGAATTTAAGATGGAATTCTATTAATTAAATACGTCTCTGCTCGAAATAGTTTTGAACATTGTCCAGCATGCATTGAGTGGGGTTATTTTTTGACTTATACCTAAAACATAATGAAAATATAACAGCATTTGTGAAACAAACATTGTTTATTTGAACCACAATGCAAAAGCTTCCTACATTGATAAGAAAAGACATTTTAGTATATGCACTTCCCCTCTTTCTAATGAATCTAAGCAGAACTGAATTTAATAATAATGATTATTGGATGACAGTGCCTGGATGCATTCTAGCCTGGGCTCCAATGAAATCAAAGCCAAGACTGATTGCTTCATCCCTTTTGTATCTTCTGCAAGTGTTTGTACCATCACTGTACTTTCTGTGCCTAGGCTTTATTCTTCATCAGGTGTATAATTCAAATATTCTCATATCAAAAAACTCACTTGTGTGCAATTTTATTATGAAAGTAGAAATTATTGGGCTGTTATGCTCAGAGTTTATCACAGTACCTGCCATAATAAAACTGATATTTGGATCTTTAGCCGTCTTTATTTCTATAACCAGCAGTCCACCTAACGTAGAATGCCCCGATCCATTCGAAAGTATGAAAGCCAAAATAAGCTCATCAAATATGCTCAATATGGAATATCGATGCTTCATAAATATGAAAAGGGAAGAGGCGTATTTGAAAGATGCAGGGCTGTTTTTTACAGAGATACTTTACATGCTGTCAGAGAAAAAAATTCTAGCTGCTTTTTTGCTCTTTTTTCAGTTTCGAAAATTTTGAACTGATAATCATTGTGATCGGGGTTTTATTTATTTTCAAGTACAGATGGGAATATTTGTGCATCATTTTAAAGACAGAGGCAACTTCAAATGTTCTGTTTAGAGTTTCAGGAACGTATATTGTGTATTTTGTAGCATCAATAGTCAGTCAAATGGCAGATAATGACACAGAAAGCTAAAAATATCGCAGGTCATTCGTCCTGCAATTTGTGTGGATGGCTCAATTGGAATATCGTATAAACCAATTATTAAATTTGATATAAACAAGTCAAAGTTATTGACATAGTCAGTTTTATGTCATCTCAATGGTACTTTCAATACTTTGACCAGCTATCCTGAAAGGTTGGGGTGGGCACATTAATAGATTTAGACAGCAATGATTTTCCGATAAAGCTAGTTGGCAGTGCACTTGCTAAAATTGTCAGTGCATGTGGACTGGCGTAAAGAAATAAACACATGCTCTTAGCACTTCTATCAAAGGGAATCAGCTTGAAGCCAGTCAAAAAACCTCAAACCAGCCAATTAAATCAAATAAATGACATGCCTTAAAGCATAAATACCATTTCTAACGTGTTTCTACCAACAAAAGCATGCAATGTATCAATTAATACAATAAATTGTGTAATAATAACAAGAGCTAAAAGAAAATTTATTAAAGCCAACAATCAGTACTATAGTATTGCATTCCATGCACTGACTATACTATTTGAATAGCTGCACTCTCCAGCTCGCCCAAGCAGCCGTACTGCACTTGGACCAAAACACAGACCGACTGTATTGAATTTCATTTAATACGCACACTTTCTATGTGCAACCTCTTGTTCATTTATTTTTGTTCCATCTTCTAAGACCCAACTCTCCAACGTGTCATTCCACTTCTTCTTTATAATCCTACCGCATATAACACAATTAGGACTTTCTTTCTCCCACACCACGTCCTCTGCCAAACCTTCAACTTCTAACTCAAGCTTTTCTACTTTCATTTGGTCTTTTGTATTGAAAAACTCTCTTCTCAATACTGTCTTTTCACCAATCGCTTGTGTAAACCTTCTATGGTCCTCAATGTGCTGGCCAAAGGACTGCGAATGCTCAGTTGGAAACCTAAGCCCACAAAGCTTACATTGTAATATCGGAAACAAATAACAAGGATTCCTTTCTTTTGAGATGTCCAATGATTTATTAATTTTAGCTTCTGGTAAAATATTTTGATAAAAAACTGTATCAGCTAAAGCCTTTTTATTA